AGCCTGAAGGATCCGGGCTAATGAAGTGAGGAATTAGATGTTAAACATTATTTCTGGACCTATGGAGAACTTCATACTGTAAGAAACTTTGAGAAGTATTTCCAAAACTATTCAGGCCAGAAATTTAATACATGACTGGTTGTGGCTCTGTGAGAGACACAGCGCAGAGGATGATAGGCTGCAAGCGGCTTTCTCCTTCCAAACCCTTGGTGTTTAAGTCTAATGCTAATTGAGGAGAAGTAGGAATTAATTTCAAAGGGGTTTTAACGAGGTAGAAATGGTACGTTGAATAAGAGCGAGATTGCTTCCTCCTGATAGGTCAGGTAAATGCAGGAGCTTATTAAAAAAATAATCATACATTTGGAGTAGAACTGCAGAAAACAGCTGGAAGGAGCACTGTGGGGTGGGCTGCTAAAAAAAAGCTAAGGGCCACATCAGTGCTCCTTCAGTTGTTGTTGCTGATGGACGTGTGTCTAACCTGGTTTTAAAACAATCTCTGCTACTGAAGGTTCTACAACCTCGTTAGGCAAAGTGAATAACTGTCTTGCTGTCAGAAAACTTCTCTTATCATCAAAACTCACACTTTGAAGCTCTAAATGAAGCTTGGTCTTACTATTCCTGTTCATATCTGACACAAAGGTCAGATTATTCACTTTCCGCTGGCAGCTGCCCTGTACATGTGTGAACTCTGTCCCCTTCCCAGATTTCTGCAGACTAACCAGTTACAGATCTCCAGTCAACCTGCTTAAGTCCAGATTGCTAGACCTCTTGGTTCTTATTGCTCAATTCTGAACACCCCAACTGGCTCGTAACTCTGAGGACATGGTGCCCAGCACCGGACACGGCGGCCTGGCTCGGGTGTGTCGGTGCCAAGCAGAGGGAGGATTGCCTCATATCTGCCAAGGAGTGTCTCACACGTCTCAGTGTGGAGTTTGGGTTCTCTGTCTCCCACTGCAGCTGTGTGATATTACTGATCATGTTTCATCTCAATCCACTGTACTATTCAGATTCCTTTCTGTATTTGTACATTTTAGTTTTGACCTGCACACTTTCCTTTTAGATTTGTCAAGATCTTCTGAAAGCCCAGTTCAGCCCTCTGATAGGCTTGCTGGCCTTTCCAGTTTGGTGTTTTATTTAGATTTAAATCTATACAACAGATAAATATTAAAAGCAGTGAATTGTGTTGGACTTTGACAGATCCTATTCCAGCCCTTGCAGCCTGTCAATGAAACCATCTATAACCATTCTTCAGATCGAGCTTCCCAAATAACTGTGAACCTCTCTTTCAGTTATGTCACTTAAACAATATTTCTGTAGTTGTTCGTAGAAGTGTTCTGGGACAGCGTCAGGAATCTTGCTAGGGCTGTGAGATATGGCATCTTCTCTTAGCCATAAGACCTGTTTCCTTGGCATGAAAAAACTTAGGATGTTTGTTCATGATCTTCTTTGTGCCTGTTGAGGAAGTGGGAAGTGACTTGCTAGAAAGTAGTCAGCGAACTAGTGCTGGAGCTGGAAGTAAATCCTGGATTCTGTGAGTTCCTGTCAAATATGTTTTCCTCTAAGAAGGATTATCTTTTTATAAACAGTGTACCTTTTCAGTTCTAAATTCTGAACTATTTTATATAATGTTTAATACAAACGCAGATCTGATCTTTGTGTTTTGATACTGAAGAGTTTAAAGCAGCATTCCAGAGACAGCCTTCTTTCCTGTTCTGTTGGTTTTGATCTAAATAACATGTTCACTTTTGAAACTGAGAGAATCCAAAACTGACTATGATGTTGTTTTGCAGCTGGAATTATCTCTCTTCTGGATGAAGATGAGCCACAGCTCAAGGTAAACTCTTACGTCTGGGAGTAATACCAGCAAATGCATTATGCTGAGAGCTTAAAATCAGAAATGAGTGGATCTCACTAATTAATGGTTGGGCAGCAACAGGTGGGCCCCAAATATCATCTAGCCTGGAAGCTGAAAGGAAGGGCTTGAATAACAGATGGCAAACCCTTGTTTTGAACATGGATCAAACTGGAGCTTCACATGCGAAGATCTTTATTCACCAAAGCTTCCAGCTCTCTGGTGATCATGGGGCTTTGTTACTTAGAAGTGTTCCAGGGGCTGCATTTTGGTTACGTAGAATTCAAAGCTGAAGAACGTCTCAAGTTTTTAGCATAATTTAAGTGATGTAAAACAAAATCACAGATACAGTTTTCCCTTCGAAAAAAAAAATCACAATAATAGTAGGAGAAGAAAACAGAAACAGAGACTTTACAGTCCACAGAGTGTGTGAGTCCATAGGACATCACCACACACTTGCAGTGGTGGTGTGTTGATCATGCTTGCTAGTTACTTGAGCAGTTAATGTAACCCCTTTCAGGAGGGGGAGCTGTGTCTTGTAATGTTGTTTAATCCCCTAAATGTTTTGTTTGGAAACAGACATAAGTGGTGGTAGATCCTGCTTTTGCTCTGGACTCGTTACAAGTGGGCTGATTCTAGTCCAGGTATTCTTTATCTGCTAAAGTACTGTGTGAACATAAATAGAGTTGGCTGCATAGGCCACAGTCCAATTCTGTGTGCTGTATAACACAGAGAGTTTAAAAACTTTGTAGTTTAAGGAGTTTCACCTATGGGTCATTTTAGCCAGTCATTCGTCACAGAGAGGCCATGGGAAGGAACATCAGGGTTGTCTTACCTGTTAAATGAACAGCCCTTGATTTGTAAAGGATTTACAAAGATTAGTGAACGCTTGCAAAGATCTTTTAAAGTAGAATTTGCTGTTAAAATGGGTCAGTGTTTATGATATTGGTCTTCAGTGGTACTTAAATTTTGCTGGGGAAAGGTAATAAATGCATTTTTTATGTAATATAATTATTTTTTTTTTTGGTAGGAGTTTGCTCTCCACAAGTTGAATGCTGTTGTCAATGACTTCTGGGCAGAAATCTCTGAGTCAGTGGACAAAATGTAAGAGAAGACACTACTTCAGGGTGTGCTGCTTGAAAAGAACATGAGATGTGAGGTGGATGTAGTTCTGGTTGCTTGATACTGGCTAGTACAGTATCTAGCTCCATATTTTCTGGAAAGCACTAATATAAGTGGATGTGGAGTTGGAGCTGTTGTCCCAAATATGTGATTTTGATCAAGCTCTCATGTGGTCTTAAAGAAGACTGAGCACACAGAGCTGATGCTCTTCTCTCTCTTCTTTGCAGTGAAGTTCTCTATGAAGATGAGGGCTTTCGGAGCCGGCAGTTTGCTGCTCTAGTTGCGTCTAAAGTTTTTTACCACCTGGGAGCTTTTGAGGAATCGCTGAATTATGCCCTGGGAGCAGGTGACCTCTTCAATGTCAACGACAACTCGGAATATGTGGAGACGATCATTGGTAAACAACTGTTGCTGCAAAAGAAAAGCTCTTATGTTGTCAAAACTACTGTACTTTGAGATTTTACTTTATTCAGTTGCTTTTCTTCCTTTTCCTCTTCTTGTATTAATTTAAACTGATGCTGCAACGAATTTTCCCCAGTTAATTTGTGCTTTCTCCTGCTTTGGGACTCTGTAATGGGACTGACTTAAGGGTTCTGGCATTTTTTTCCTATTTTTAACCCTTACTGTGTTGCGAGTTCCTAACAGGAAAATTGCTTTGGTTGTTTATTCTCCTTTCTCTCTTTTGTGTGATAATGTTTTTATCAATTTCAGCATAACTTTGGAAATAATTGGCAAGTGTACCTGCGCACCTAACTGAGGAGTATAATTTTTTTTAATCGACCATTAACAAGATAGCAAGTCAGATGCTGAATGCATGTGTAATTTGAACGTCTTTTAAAAGTTTCCTCTGCTGGTATCGCTTACCCTGTACAGGATATGAAGGACCACGTCTGGCTTTCAGTCTCCCCAGCTAGTGCTTACAGTAGAGCTACGAAGTGTTCCGCTGCTGTTTGCTCATTTACTTATAATATCATGCCACTTAAAGATCATGTTATTGGTTCAATTTTAAGAATATCTACTTGGTTTCAGCACTAAAATCAGAGTTTGTTAGGAGAGAGTATAAGTATCTTCCACTACTGTCTGTGTATGACTGCACAAATAGTTCTTGTGCATCACCTTTGTGTAGTTTCCCCCATGCTGCGTTTGCTGTTGGAATATGTGTGTGCCCATAATGGTCGCTTCATCTGTAAGAAAATTGCAAACATTACTTTTTTTCCCCTCTGTGTTCAAATATCTTTTCAGCAAAATGTATCGACCACTATACCAAGCAGTGTGTGGAGAATGCAGAGCTGCCAGAAGGGGAGAAGAAACCTGTCGATGAAAGGCTGGAGGGGATAGTGAACAAAATGTTCCAGCGGTGCTTGGATGACCACAAGTACAAGCAGGCAATAGGCATTGCTCTAGAGACACGCAGGCTGGACATCTTTGAGAAAACCATCCTTGAATCGGTACGTGCAAGAGACAGGAGGTGCATGTAGCTAGTCGCTTCCAAGTAGGGATCCAAAAGTGAAGTGCAAGATCCATATTGCCGTGAAATTTGCCCTGTTTTGTATGGACAGAATAAAAGATGAAGCTCAGGGGTGTTCAGTTTAACATGTTCACTACCTTTAAGAAATCCTTGAGGTGCAAGTTGCTGGGAGAGTATTCCCAGGAAGCTTGGCTGTGTGCCTTTAAGGTATTCCCTGTCAGCTACTAGCAGAGATATGATACTGGGCTAGGCAGCCTTAGGTCTGGCATAGTGTAGGAACAGCTCTTTTATTTTGTGGTGCCTGTCATCTGCTGCACTTCACTGTGGGAGGGGATCCTCAGGGCTGGGTAAGTGATTTATTTATGCCAGGAAAAACAAACAAAAAAATCCAGTACTTGGGTGAGATGTTTGGATTTTCAGGAAGTGTCTGTGTGCAGTTTTAGCCTGCCCTGACTGCAAGGCTGTACAGTCTGGCTTTAACATCTTTCAGTGCAGGTTTAAGGTAAATGGTGTTATGTAGTAATGGCAGTAAGAGAACCATGCCCGTAGACATTTGCAGCAGCTCAGTGGTTGTATGTTGTCTTCTTGTGCTGCAGTATCTTAATCATACGCCAGACACATGGTTTAAGTCCTTCACATTTTACCACTTTTTGATTTACAGCTTTCCCGTATTTTTGGATGTCTCCCATTTCTGTGTACAGGAATGATAACCATAAGGCATCCATCCTGCTTTCTCTGCTCTGTTTGCTGTCCTATGCATTTACTAACTTAATTGCCTATTGTAAATCCCACATTTCAAATTATCTTTCTGAAGTCTAGTAACCAAATGTGTTTCTCAGTCTCGAGCAAGAAATAGGTGTGTTGGGGATCTTTTCTTGGTGCATGATTTGTTTTGCTGATATTTTATGTTAGTGCAGTGAATTTCACTGCATTCAAGAATGGATGATTCAACTGAGAAGGGTGAAGAAGGAGAAATAGCTATTGAACTTTTAAATGAATCTTTTGCGTGTTTTAACTACTGAAATAAATATTGGTCCTGTACATTTTTGTAGTATTTTGTCTTTAAACTGCAGTACACCTGTATATAAGTTTTTCTGCAAATGGGAAACTGAAGTTTTATATGTACATGTCTTTTGCTCTGCTTTTTAAAACAGAAAGGAGTTAGCTTTATTTTAATTTCTTCTGCTTGTCACTCCAAACCCAAACTTGATATCCCTGAATTTTATTTCAGAACGATGTTCCTGGGATGCTAGCCTACAGCTTGAAGCTCTGTATGTCTTTGATGCAGAATAAACAGTTCCGTAATAAAGTCTTGAGAGTTCTAGTTAAAATCTACATGAATCTGGAGAAACCAGACTTCATCAATGTGTGCCAGGTAAACTTCTCAGACTGATCTTTAAAGATCAATCAACAGTTACTCTTCTTTAGATGTATTTGACTTGACATCTGCATGATCTCCGTTTGTTATTCAGTTAAATGAAATATCTTTTCCTGGTTGTGTGCTTCAAATATTTATCCAAGTGAGATCAACTTGAGAAGAGTTGCAAATATTGCACATTTGGTGAATTTATAGAGAAAGAAACACATTCAAAGGCAGTGTAGGGATGTAGACAACTGACAGAATATGTCAAGCCTGTGTAGGGAGTATCAGATAGTACATTCACAGCTTGGAATTTTATTCATTCCTCCAAAGAACATTTACAGTGCTTTGTTTTTTGGTCAGTTATTGTCTGAAAGTGTGCAGACACCTAGTTATTAAGTTACTCAGGTGTTCTCAGGCCTTTGCTGGTCTTGGTATGCCATGTGCGTGTGACTCAGTGTTACGCCTGTTCCATTTTAGCTGAGACATCCCTAAAAAATGACCCATGCTTCTTTAATGTGCTTTTGAAATGTCTGTGTTTAGTAGGGCAGCATTGTCAGTTTCCCAAGATAAAGCTGCAGAAATAGGAAGACTTGAAAGTTATATCTTGAATTTGTAAGACTTGGTCTTGTTTTTAAACTGACCTATGAAACTCTTCAAAGATTTCTATTATCTCCTATGAGAGAGAGAGAATTTGTCTTTCTTTGAAGGGGCATTCTGTGGAACTAGCAAATGAGGGAATGGGGAAAGTAGAGTGTGGCCTCAGGTAGTGTTGCTTTTTTATTCTGAAGTATATAATATCTTTTCCTGATTTTTTTTTTTTTCTTGTGTTCTTCCCTTCCTCTGATGCAGTGCCTGATATTCCTGGATGACCCACAGGCTGTGAGCGACATATTGGAAAAACTGGTGAAGGAAGATAACCTTCTCATGGCCTACCAAATTTGCTTTGATCTGTACGAAAGCGCTAGCCAGCAGTTCTTGTCTTCTGTGATCCAGAATCTCCGCACGGTTGGCACTCCCATTGCCTCTGTGCCTGGATCCACCAACACTGGCACCGTCCCTGGATCGGAGAAAGACAGGTGGGGAGATTGGCTTGAGACGAGGCGTAATTGTTCAGCTACAGTCCTCTGATGGAGCCTCCTGTTCTGTGTATGGGATGCCCATCACAAGCAATCAAGTTACTCCCCTTCATTTAAGTCAGGTGCTAACAACAGCTTAATATGTTTCATTTCCATTTTAATACTCTAGCCTCCATCCTAATAGCGATGAGCTCAAGGTTTCCAGGTGAGGATGTAACTGTCCTTGCTGCCTCCTTTGTTGACCTTGTTTTGTCACCTGTCTCCGCCTGTTCATTCCCTGTGAGCATCTCTATTTTTGTTGTCTCTAAAGATGGAATAAGAAGGTGGGGTTTTCTGGGCCTTTGTCTTCAAAGTCCCTGAAAAATGAATTGTGGAGGAGTTTGCTTCTCAGCAGTGACCTCCAGATAGTCAGCCCTTGTCCTGTCAAAGTCCTGTTTCCAGTCATCATCTCCAAATCCCAGGCTACTCTTTCAGGACGGTGTTCAGCCATAATTACAGTGCTTGACTAGTTATGAGTGATGAACTGGGTTGCATTTTTCATTTTAATTTTATTTCAGTGATGCTATGGAAGCAGAAGAGAAACCAGGAAGCACGTGTGCGGGGAAGTCTGCAGAAGTTGTAAGTTCCATTTCCAAAATCTGCCTTGCTTGGTTTTTCTTAGGTGTTGTCTTCCAGACTCTGGGGTTGCTAAATTGGTTTGGCTAATGAAGAATGGAATTCCACTTCTGTCTTGCTTGGAGACGAGGAGACCTATGATCTATGGGGACCAAATATCTGACAGTCTGAAAGTCCAGCAGTTCGGAAACTGAAAGTTGGGGGAGAATGGGAAGTGGGTAGATTTTGGTGAGAATTACTGAGCCCTGAAAAAGGAACAGAAGGATCTGGCTCAGGTGTTTGCTTTTTGTTGAAACTCTTTCCAGAAAGAAAGGGCCTGAAATTTGACTGCTGCTGAGAACCTTAGCTGATGAATTAGCTTGATGCTGTCTTTTTCTTCTGTGTCTGAAATCTGTCTGTAATTCTGGCTGGATGGAACTGATGCTCCTCTTCAGGAATGACAGGAGGGGATGCTATGCTGACATAACATAGCTTCTTTTCCATGAGGGAAGAAGGTGTTGCCTCTGGCTAGCATGGTGACTGTGTTGCTGGGCCAGCTGCTTAGAATCTTTATTTTCTTTTTCCAAGTATTGGAGAAAGCAAGTTCCCTTCTAACATACACATACAATTGCATTTCAGCATGTAGAATAGCTAAGGCAATTCTGGCACTTCTAATGCTGAGAAAAGGAAATGCTACTGGAGAGGAAAGTAAAATCCAAGACTTTTTTTTTTTTTTCTTTTTTCTTTTCTTTCCCCATGGTTCATATTTACAAACTAGGCTTGGGAATCTTTGAGAGATTCTTGCAGATCACTTAATCAAGGGCAGGCAGCAGTGTTTTCTTGAAATTATATTATGCAAGGAAAACAAAAGGTGTGGAGTTTCTTGCCCCATCAAGGAACCTGTAAACATTGCTTTTGTGCAGGAAAGGTGTCTTGGTTTAGTTTCTGCTGCATTGGCACTGCTGACTGTGCTAAGGGACAAGTACATAAAAATGATCTGTGTGGTCAGAAATGTTCTTGAGCTTAATCTTCTGCAATTCAGAATATTGACTATAAAGAAATACTTGAGGGGATTAGTTTAAGGGCTGAATTACTAATGCTTGCCTGGTTTCTGACCAGCTAATAACGCCAGTACAAAGAGCTGTGATGTACTTTTCACCCTGCTCGGAAGGGACTTCAGTTGGAACTTAATCTGTGGAAACTGTTCCATGGTGAGGAAGGAGGAGGCTTTCTCAAAGAACTCTGGAGGATGAATTTATTAGAGATTCCTAGTTCTACTAGCCTTTGTTCTAAATAAAGCCTTCAGCCCACAAGAATGATGCTGTGAGTCAGTAGGGTCATGCAAAGTGTTGTGGCTTTGCGGTCCTCTCCATTAAAACTTCCATGGAAATACAGGTTCCCATTTATGAAAGTGGTCACCTCTTGCAGGAGACTCATTGTATGTGTAAGGCCAATCGTAGCAGGTTGCAGAATATCAGATGTCACTCATATCCTTTTGCTTTCAATGCAAGAATACATTTCTTTTCAAAGAGCCTCTTCTCCCACCTCCACTGATGTGCACAAAGGGACTTGATTATCTGCGAGGTCTGAACTTGTGCAGCAAGGGCAGAAACAATGTCCTTTTAGTCCTAAAACCTGGTAGATTTTGGAATATGGTGATGTGAACATACAAGAGTGGCTTCTCATGAACTGTGTTTTAACAGAGCCATAGTTGGGAGCTCATGTTTTTCCTTCTTTTTGCTTATATGCGAAGAACCCAGAGCCCAAGGACCAGATCTCAAAAATGATTAAAATTCTAAGTGGGGAAATGGCCATTGAGTTACATCTGCAGTTTTTAATACGAAACAACAATACAGACCTCATGATCCTCAAAAACACAAAGGTAAGAGGCTTTGTTAGATGTGGTTGTCTTGAATTAATCTGATTCATCTTGTGTTTGTTTTTACCATGTTGCTGTTATTTTACAGAATCACCTTATGTTTTAGTGTGGCCTCCCTGGGTTTTTAGGGTACAAATCTGTGTTTTGGTCATGATAAATTAACATTTAAAACTTGAACCTATGAGGCTTAAGAAGAGCTGATCACCCCCAAAGAAGTCTGTATAATCAGAGTGTTTCAACTTACAGCTAGTATGACTTAATGACAGACTACTATTAGCATGTTGATTTTTTTTTTTTTTTTGGTTGGTTATAGCAACTAATCCATTTCTCTGCCCCCTTTTTTTTTTTTTTTTGGTGGGTTTGTTTTCCATCTGGTCAGTAGGATGGACCAACTGGTCATTAGGATGGACCAACTCACCTTCTAGCTGCATTTCTTGATCATTTCTAGCATCTGCATTTCTAGCATCATTTCTTGATCCAGTGCAAACGCTGCTGGTTGGTGAGGGGGGGAGTGAGCCAGAACTGCAGGTTGCAGTATGTTCATATCTTGGTTGAGGTGTTATGTGAGAACACACCTTCGACTTGGCTAAAGAAATCCTGACGTGCTCAGGGACTAATATTTCCACACTGAAGACAAAACTGATCAGATATTATAATGTAGGCAGTGCTGGTAAATTGAGTTTTGTTTTGGAAAGCATTACTCAGGGGTGGGCAAATGAAAACTTACAGGTAAATTAGACTCGCTTATACAAAATGATTATTAGAAACCATAGGAAAAGTTTTTTATGGATGAAATGAGATGCATGTTATCAGCAAAAGTGGTAGGCATGCTTCTCAGTGGGTTCATCTGTTTCAGGAGACACTTCACATGTCTTGGAAAATCTTTTCCATCTGCTGATTAAGTGCTTGGGAGTGATCCTGCATGGTGTTCCAGGGATGGCTTGAAAACAGCAGCACATGCTCGGCAGTGTTTGGTTCTGGGAACCAGGAGGGGGACTCTCCAGTTAAGCTGCAATTGGAGGAATCGTGTCTCTGACAGAAACTCATAGAAAGGATTGTTTTGCAGTGGGAAGATGGGTGGAGGATGTATTAGAATGTATTAACAATCTATTATCTTTGATTAGAGGGAAGTTGATGCTTAAATTGTGTCTTATTAAAACCCATTTTTTTAGTGTACTGGCAAGCATGTTAAGTGACCTAGGGCATGTCTTTTGCTGGCCAGTGATACTGATTGTTTTTATTCTTTCAGGATGCAGTACGGAATTCCGTGTGTCATACAGCAACGGTTATAGCAAACTCCTTTATGCATTGTGGTACAACCAGTGACCAGTTCCTTAGGTAAATCTATAGCGAGGGAACTCCAATGGCATTTAGAGGTGTTTGAACAACGTTGTTGCCCTGCTTATCTTGATACTTTCAAAAGGGTGCCTGCAGAACACTGATAGGCTTCAAGAAGAATAAACAAAAGATCTGAGAACTAATACAGAGGCAGAGGGAAGAAGTTGGAATTGTTTCCTTTTCTCTATCTTCACAAACTGGCTTTGTTTGAATCCTGACTATGTCAGTGGTTTGGAGGGTAGGGGTCTGTAATTTCTGTTCTCCTTGTTTACTAGTTGTAGAATTTCTGAGATGGTGATTTTTTTTTTTTGGTAGAGACTGCCACTGATAAATGACTCTTGAGGTCAGTCCTGACATTTCCCTTCCACTAGGGACTTGAGGAAAGCTCCAGAACCTCTGCTCCAGTTTCTTCCAAAGAGTTCATGGGCTACATGTTGAGCAATTGTTCTGCATCTTTCACAGAGATCGCCAGTATCTAGGAGCTTGACTACTACCACCCAAAGTTTGGGGCTGGTGAAGGGGAGAGGGGGACAGAGTGGAAATGCAGTTAGCCTTCTTGCCTTCTGGAGCTACTCTCTGGCTTGAAAGCAGTCTTCAGTGCTGTGAAACCTTACTTGCAGGGTGAAGAATGGCCTGTATGAAAAACTTTGTGTAAACCTTTCTTTTTTTGTCTTCCAGAGACAATTTGGAGTGGCTGGCCAGGGCCACTAACTGGGCTAAGTTTACTGCTACTGCCAGCTTGGGTGTTATACACAAGGTGACGTTGCATTCATTCCCCTCTGTTCAATATTCAAGCGGGGATTCTGAACGATGCCTGCACTCCGGTTTACCTAGTCTGTTGCAAGGCATAGCTGTGACATTGTTTGTGTCTTTGCACTAAAGAAAAGCGGTACTTTATCAAGTCCATCTCATATCTGATCTAGTTGATGGTGTGTTTTGCTGATCATCAAAAGGGTGGCTGGATAACATAGCTCAAGGAGAGAGTCTTCCTAGTTCTTGTCTTCCTTTGTGAGGTGAACACAGTTGATGGTTTCTAGCTATTAAAATTGAGGATGTATATTTCTTAAGTGAATTTCCTGGTTTTGGGACAGTACCGAAGTCCTTACTTACCGAAGTAAGTTTCAGTAAGTTTGAATGGTGACCTAAGTAGTTGTCACTTTTTTCAAATTCATTCCCGGGAGGGTGTATTTAAACCTGGTTTTAAATAGCAAAAAGTCTTTGTAATTGTTTTATGTGCTTCATCTCCCATTAAAGTGCTCTAGTGAATAAATCGGTGTAGCTTCTGGCCAAATTTGTCCTGGTTCAGATCAGTGATTGACACATACTCATGTACTGGGATTAATTAAGAAGGGATTAATTCTTTCTTGAGAAAGTGATGGCTATAACATGTTTTCTCCTGACTTGTTTAACTATTACTGCAAAATGTTTGTGTCCACTGTTTTTTCACCTTTCACTTCCCACTGTCTCCCTTTGCTGCTGGATGCTGTACGTACAGGGTCATGAGAAAGAAGCATTACAGCTCATGGCAACGTACCTACCCAAGGACACCTCTCCAGGGTCGGCCTACCAGGAAGGCGGAGGTCTCTATGCTTTAGGTCTCATTCATGCCAACCATGGTGGGGACATCATTGACTATTTGCTGAACCAGCTGAAGAATGCCAGTAATGATGTATGTACTGGGTTCAGTCATGAACCTTTGTTTTGTTGGGAATATCCAGAAGGGTGCTAGTTGGTTTAGAAGTGGGGGTTAGAGGTAACGGAGACTGTGACAGTGGTGTGATATCTACACCTCCTCTGGGCCTTAAATATAAACTCCGGTTGTAACCTATTGCTCTAGGTTTAAGTAAGATTTTTAGGAAATTCTTATGGATCTGACAGTGAATCTAGGTTCATTTTTCTTACTGCTTATGTATCGACTTTGTTTTGCTAGTGGACCTGCAGTATTTGGGCACTGTTATTGGTTATAGTGCAGCTGTCAAAGGAATAAGCCTAGAAATGCTTCTGCTGCCCTGTAGGTTTAATGCATCTTATACAAAAAGAAGGGGTTTGCTTCACCACTTAATGTTTGTAGAGCCCTACAAAAAGTCTTTCTTTTTAAGTTTGGAAGAGATCACTGTGTTCCCAGTGTGTTCTCTTCTTCTCTTTGGGTAATATCAGACTACATCTTTAAAAATTCTGTGAATGGATCTCACTTGTCTTATTGCAAATGTACTGCCTTTCCTGTACACCTTGTTAGAACAAAAGGGCACGTAGACTGCTGCAAGTGGGAACTGATTTACCTTTCCATTTAAAAGCTACTACTAGGCAGCAGTTTTTACACGTGGCACAGATTTGTGTTATTGCATAAATTGCTCAGTGGGGAAGAAGACCTTAAAGATACTAGAAAGTTTTTTTTGCTGTGTGGAAAACTTCTGATACTCATGGGTTTTTGCAATGCTGCTTTTATCTTCTGCCTCTTTCATCAGACTTACTGTCTGAGAAGGTAAAAATGCTATTTTTAACAGGTCAGGAGATCATTTTGGGTGGTTTGGGGCTAAAAGTTTGCAGCTTTATATTGACAGAAAGATGTCTACTTCAGCTGAAGCCATGTTGTTCCCTGTTCTATGATGACTAAACTTGCATGTGCTTCTCTAGATTGTCCGACATGGTGGCAGCCTGGGCTTGGGTCTGGCTGCCATGGGGACGGCACGTCAAGATGTGTACGATTTGCTGAAAACAAATCTATACCAGGATGATGCAGTCACAGGTAAATGTTCTGCTTACAAAGCAAATAACCATCTGAGGCCTTATCAGGCATCTGGATTTTTCTGGTTTGTTTGTTTTTTCGGGTTTTCTGTTAGCAGCATAGCGCTTCTAGGTTGCCTTAGCTGCATGTCATTTAGTGACCTTTTCCTGATCAGCACAATTCTTCAGTTATGTGGAAGTTATGTTCAGAGGTCCTGTCGGAACTGTTCTGTGGTGCTATGCCAAGTATCGATACGACAAGCTAGGTTTTTAAACAGTCTCTTATTTTGCTCTAGTCTTTCCTTTGTCACATGCTTTTTATTTAGTGTGGTTGATCTCCAGAGCCATGTGCCCTTTTTGGCTGAGACACAGGCCAGGAGAAGCTTGTGGGAGCTACTGTTGCATTGGCAGGGCTTCACAGGAAAATTATCTCAGCAGCTCTTGGCCTAAGGAAGAGAAAATTTAACTTGGTAGAGAAGAGCATTAAGTTGTGGCTGTAGGTTATCATTGCAAGCACCTTTGGCCATGAATAACTGGGTTGCTGGGCATGGTGGTGTCCAAAAGTGATCTGTTGGCCTACATCTTGTGTGATTCTCTAGATATATTTACTGCTTTTGGGAACAGAATTTGCTTTATTTTTTTGCTTTTCTGTCCTGTGCAGGTGAGGCAGCTGGGCTGGCACTGGGATTGGTTATGTTGGGATCTAAAAATGCTCAGGCTATTGAAGACATGGTTGGCTACGCACAGGAAACCCAGCATGAGAAGATTTTGCGAGGCCTTGCGGTTGGAATTGCTCTGGTCATGTATGGGAGGATGGAGGAGGCAGATGCTCTCATTGAGAGCCTCTGCAGAGATAAGGTAAGTTTAGTTGTGACTGAAGCCCTGGCCCTTTTGTTACACTGCTGACCTTCCGGTCCTTTTGTGAAATCTCCAGCTGCAGTGGGTTGGCTGTTTCGAACCAGGAAAGTTCTTACATAGGTCTGAAGTGACGCAGTTTCACAGGTTGCTTCACTCTGATAAAAAATACAACAACAGTTGTATTTAGTGCTTAGTCATGTATTTCTTTAGGCTCATACTCAGTCCCCGTAGTCTTATGAGCAGCAACAGGAGCAGAACAGGGTGTAATGGTTAAAAAAGATGAGGCTCGCTGTGGTCAATAGCAGATGGTGAAGAAGAAGCCAAGTGACACGTCTACCAGATACTCTCTTTGGCAGCCTGTTGCATAGCAACTTTGTCCCCCTGAAACTGGTAGTTTCAACCCTGCTTCGGTGATTGTCCTGTTAATTATCCCTAATATACAATGAAGCACTGAGGCTACCTGTTTGCACATTCCAGGCCCAAGAGCGGAACAGATTTAAAGTCAGAATTACTGAGTCCCTGTTTGGAAGGATGTTAAATATTGATGCTTTCTCTTCCAGGATCCAATTCTCCGTCGTTCTGGCATGTACACTGTCGCTATGGCATACTGTGGCTCAGGGAACAACAAGGCTATCAGACGCCTACTACATGTGGCTGTAAGTACAAGCACATAGCAAGAAATTTGTGAGGAGAGAGTAAACACATCACTTTGACAGTCTTTGTGGCTACAGCGTTAATGTTCTGGTCCAAATCGGAGATTGCAAAGTGATGAAAGCTTTCCTTAATACTGTGATAGAAATAACAGGGTCTCTGACATGAGGAAAAATAGACTTTTAGTGAGACAAAATTCAAACTGGTATCACAAAAAAGGAACCTATTAAAAAATAAAACATGATCCTAAAGTAGTTGGTAGTGGGTTTGCAGTGAATAGTCTGTGTAATGATGGGCTGGGGAAAAACAAGCTGTGAAAGACAAGGTCTGCCTGCTCCCTGGTAGACCTGCAGTCCCAGTGTGTGAACAAGGGCGAGGCTGTTCCAGCTAAGGCTGAACACGATTGTTAACTTACTTTCTCTATGATCCTGTCTTCTTGATTAACTTGTGTGCCTGACGCCTGGCCTGAAATGTTGCAGGGTCCTCAAGTGTTTTAACTATATTCTAAATGTCCTTTTTTTCCTTTTGTAGGTGAGTGATGTGAATGATGATGTGAGGCGGGCAGCTGTTGAGTCACTTGGTTTCATTCTGTTCAGGTACAATATCTTCCTAGGTCACTTGCACAGCCTGCAGTTTGATGTCTCTTACATTTTCAGGACATGTGTATGCTATTGCTTCCACAAAATGAATTGTCTGCTAACTGAATGGATGTTGAAAAGTCAAAAATTGAGAGAGAATAAAACTTGGTTCAGAATTATAAGTCTTCCTTCATGTTCAGCAGATGCTTAATGAGCCTTTCTGTAGGTTTCCGGGCTTACAGCTTAATTGTCTGAATAGAGTTAGATAAAGTTGATGAGTAGAATGAAAAAATAATATTTACGGGATTGAGAGTTAATTAAAAATTAAATATACAGTGCATGTGCCAAGCCTCTTAAAGGCAGCAGTACTCAGACAAATCTATCTGCCTAATTGACATCTAAAAGATTCCTGGAGGTTGTGGCTTCAGTAAAAATAACCTGAAGAAGGATGTTAAAATAGTCTTTGTTGTTTAAGTATCCACTGTTAAACCCTGACAGGTTACTGGGCTTATGTTGTGGTAATGTAAGCCCATAACAAAACAGTCATGATTGTTTCGGTTCTCCAAAGTGAAATCTTTCACTGAACTGGTATTTTGTAGTGCTCTATAGTTCCCTAGGTCAGAAGTGTTTGGGGGTTTTTTTGTTAGATTGGGGAATTAGAAGGCTCCTCAAGGGCTAAACGTTCATCTGTTGATACAGTAATCTGTGTAGTCTGAGCACTGAGCCAGGGTGCATGCAGCCTTAGAGTGTGTCCGAGAGGAGGTAGTGCACACTGGCATCCAGGACTGTTGTTAACATCATCTTTGGGTTAGTCGCAGTCTAAATTAATTCTAAAAAGCAAGATAAGATCTGCTTAAAGCTGGTATTAAAAAACAGGATTACTGATAAGACCAGTCAATTCATCATTAACCAAGTTGTTAGTAATGTAGAAATGACTCTGCTTCATTCTGGTTTTTCTGAAGCACATTCTGGCTGCAATTAAATGTAGTTTACAAACAGAAAAAATTCTCTCTGTGGGCAGCAGGCGTCTCCCAAGAGCTTCTGCTCCAATGCTTTTGTGAGCACAGGTCATTCCTAGCTGCATAGCGATCTGCGTCTCTCTTGAAGCCAAAGGGTCTGTTTAACTGGCTTCTGCATCTGTGTACAGAAGCAAAATTCCACGCAGGCGTTCCATAGTTTCAGGCATCTTTTTTCCAAACAGGTTGTGACACTGTGCTTTTGATCTCTGATTTCAATGTAATTTTTCTTTTCAACAAATGCAAAACATAGTTGGGCATTGATAGCTCCTACCAAAATGAGAAGCGTTCAGGGCTGAGCTAAACCATTTACTGTGTGCTGGCATCTTGTTGGAACAAGATAGTTCTGGGCTTGTTCTCTCCATATCCAGTGATGAGGAAATGAGTGACATCATCTTTGACTCTTTGATCTGCTCTGCAGTGGTTCAGATCTTGTCCTGCATCTTCCCTTTCGGGAAGGGTGCAGTCCAAAACCTGCTTGCACAATAGGGAGGAACATTTCGTTGTAAATTCCAGTCTCCACCTTACTTGGTAGCAAAGGACTGAAACTTTTTAGCTGATTATCGGTGGCTTCTGGAGGCAAAAGGCTTATGTTAGGCTGTTGTAGTTGCTAATACTTGTCACTTGATGACTTGCACAAAATACATGATCACTTGTTTTCTTTCAGACAGAGTTCTGGGGGAACCCTTGGTTTGTCTAGCCGAGACCCCTGCATTGACATGCAGCGATGGAAGGGATTTTCTGCTTAGAGGGTCCCACAGATTACCCCTGCCTTACTCTCTCTAATTATAACCCAAAAAGCTGTATTCCAGTTCCTGGCAAGAGATATTGTCCATTGGTGTAGGGATCTAGAAGCTGGTTTTACGTTGACCTTTCCTATTTGCTGCAACTGGTAGTTAGCACTAATTGTGTGCTCCGGCCCGTCTCAACGCTGCAGGTGTGCAGAGACACGTAAAGAGCAAGTGGGCTGTGAGTTTCTCAGATTTCATGACTAGAATGACATCTCCTTCTTAGGACTGTTGTTTATTGAAGTCTAACTGGATTTACTTGTCTTAAAGGCCACTAATAAAGCGTTGAATGCTGGTGAGAGGCAGCGATGTGTCAGCTGCTAGGTACACAGAGCTTTTGAATGAAGTGTTTTGTGATGGGAGGTGAGCAGGTCTGTAACACAGTGGACTAAGCCCCAGAAATTAATGTTATCTTAGGTGAAGGAACATGACTGAAGCTCCTGTGCGAAGAAGTCTCATTTAGTTCTTTGTGTGTGGTTCCAGAAAGGGAACTGTGAATGAAAGCAGCACAGTAACAGAGTAAAATTGGAATAGAACATAATGGAATAAAATGTGACATTTAATTTTTAAAGCAACAAGATTTTGCTTTAACTTGAAGATTAACTTTTTATTTTTTTAAGCACAGAAATTTTTTTAGGGGCTTTTTTGCACTTTTCAATTACTAGAAAAGTCTACAGAAGAATGTGTGTGGCTACTTCATTGTTCAAAATTCATGAATCAGGGTTTAGATAGGATGTTCTAGTCTAGTTTATTAAGTTTTGCCTAAGAATTTCAAAATTAAATTTTCCAGTGTGTTATGAAAGATCTGTTAAATTACCCAGTTCCAACATTGAATACTTTCCTTAGCATATAATTCTTTAAGAGAATTTCTATATTCCTTAACATATCAAGTGAAAACAGTCTGGAGTTATGACTCTTTAAATTAGTATCAATTGAGGGTTGTTTTTTTTGTAACTGCAATACCTTTTATCTTCTCAGCTTGCTTAAAAATTTAGAATTCACTTTCCGCGGTGTTCAGGAGTTTTCTTCCTACACTATTTTCCAAAGTCACCTTTGCTACCTGGAGCAAAGATGAAATTTGGTGAAATACTCCTTCTGCAGCAGGATCACTGGCTGTGTTTGCCCAGCAAGTCCTGCGGTACTTTGGGAGGGGTAAGCCATGGAAGGAACACTTGAGGGACGCTCTGTGTTGCTCAAAACATCAGCTACAGTGCAAGAGTTTTGAAGGGATTAGGGGAGAAGGGGTTAGTGCTGCTAGAGCAGTTACACACTTGGGTGTTGGATGCATCCTGGCCTGGCTGCGTGAACATCTGCAGGCAAGTCACTCCAGGGAGCAAAGCAGTAGCAATCGTACTGCTTGAGCCGCAGAGTACGTTGTGGGGTCCTGTTCATATAGCACAGAACTAACTCTCTTGTTCTCTTCTTGGACTCACTAAAGCTTTCCAGGGGGCTGTGTATTTAGAATTGATACTTGTTGACCAGCCGTGTTACTGCTGTCAATTCTGTTTCTGATGACTGTTTAGAATCACAGAATCACAGAATGTTA